AAAAAAAAAAAAAAAAAAGATTGGAACACACAAACAAACACATAACGAGAATGAAACAGTTGCCACAGTAACTGGCATGGGAAAACATATATGAAGCAAGTTTCACAAACTATGAGATGTGCATTTACGGAAACAATTATATTATTGACAGCCATTCCTGCCGGCCAGTATATTACATTTTGTATGTATGTACTGTAAAAATTGGTCTTTCACATCATTGATCATACAAAAGATTCAAAGACACAAACTATGGAGGACATTAGTTTTTGTAAAAAGAACGAAGTTCTGGTGTCCACGTTCTTTCATAAAAAGAATTTACGTTTCATAGCAAAGAATGATATTCTAGGATCAGTCTTTTCATATGAGAGAGAGAGAGAGGCACAAAACTCTGTCGTGCAGGCGTCATACCTGCCAACATTTATGTACTGCTCACGGTTATCAGCTTCCTGAACCCACACTGTGACACTAATGTTTGCACTGTTGACATTATTACCATATATTCGGACATTAGCAGAAACATAGTACGCAAGCTTTCTCTGTACCCTCCCCGTTATCTCCTGCTGAATTCCGTTCCAGTTCTGTGTGCGGTTCGTTGTGGATGCAAAGTGTTTTCCTGACATGGGAAGGATTTTTCCATCTCCCATGGAATCATGCAACTCGATACCACAGCCTCTCTCAGACCAATTATTGAGGCCATCTTCAAATGTTGGGTTCTGTATGATGTTGCCATCTTCATCACACACAGTGCCAGCAGCTCGAGTCTATGCAAACACCAGAACCCTCTCAGAATTTATCAACAATATTTAAAATTGACATCATTAGAATATCTAAAATTGTACAAAGTCGGATGGATTCTTTCATGATGCCGAGTTTTCCCCAGGAAAATTATTTTCTTAATAGTGTCCGTTCTGTAAATGCATGAACCATAATAGAAGCAAAACGAGGATCTGCGTGTAGATGAACTTACATTACATTGACTGGAAGAAGTGTTGGAAATTACGACTGATCGTATAAGTAAGTCGATACCAGGGGAAGGCCCTTCCACATAGAAGATAACTCGTTTAGGCACGGTTGACAAACAGAATGTGCCTTCTATCTTATCCCAGCGCCCCATTGAAGCAGATGTTCTACAGGTTGGTAATGGAATCAGCAAATATTTATCTCAACTAACGCTTGAACTAAACTGAAAGAGAAAACGACTACCTAGAAATGGACAAATAACCGACAGACGAATCTTGGTGCTCGAGTTTCAGAGTGGCCAGGACATCAGAACAACCATGAGGAGCCCCGGATATTCCGACCCAAGCTCTGACCAAGTAAGTGGTGCCTGCCTTGACCCTGTCTGTAATGTCCTGCTCGAGGCCCTGCCAGCATTCTTTCCGGTTTGTAATAATCGCAAAACGGCTATTGTGTTTGAACGGAAGCTCTACAGGGTGATTAAACTCTGAGGATACCACAGAGCCCTCACAGCAATTGGGATGCCACAAATGAAGTCCTTCCGAAAAATCATGGTTAAGAATGATGTTGGGAAAAGGCGTGATAACGGGGTCATTTACATGCTCACTCGATTTCTGCACGAAGGATCGAGAATAAGTTTCTTGGGAAGCAGTAGCCGTGAAAATATTTCTCAGTTTAATGATACAAGTACATTGACAAGTTTAACTACTTTAGCTTAAAAAAAAAAAAAAAAACTGTGGAGACCTCTGCCACAATTCATGATAGAGGATTCACCATCACCTAATAAGGACACACAAAAAAAACCCATACAAAAACTAACGGGAACAGAAATATATAAACCCTTCATATTTCCTACCTCGCTCGGAAAGTTACCGGCGACATTGATATCGGATTTCTTCTCCATAACGTCCGGTGATACCTAAACACCAAACATCAAAAGATCACTAAACGCACCGAATCGAAAACCCAAATGGATTGTCATTATTACAGTACCTGTGAATCTGGGGCTTGCCTTGAAATTGAAATTGGACTGGTGAAGCAGCAATTCAAGAATCGGCTCATTATATACTGCTCTTCGAACAAAGTTTTGCAAGTGAAGTCTACGAAAAACGCGGGACCTTGTCAGCCAACCAATCAATTTTTTTTTTTTTTTAATTTAATTTCTTTTGAAGCGGTCTCTATCTCTTCTTGGTATAAACCGATTTGAATTAATCCATTCCATTCCCAGGTTGAAGATTATGTTAACCCGGGATTAGAAGAGGATTAATTGTGGTGAAATGCAATCATTGATGGGCTGCCTTTGGATTACAGAAAAGTGTGGAGAGTGGAGATGATTGCTGTGAATTAAAAGAAAAGACTTGAGCAAAGGGGTCTAAGCTAAAAGGTCTATAGAGTTTCATAGAACACATAAATAAGCAATCCATTCCTTTCTTTGTTGATACCTTTCTTTTTGTTTCACCTCTTCGACAACAAGCCATGTATTGTACGAACTAATCTATAGATACAATTTTGTTACGAACTTGGAGTTATCTACATTTATTCACACATATATATCAGAAATTCTATTGTGTCATATGTGGCACCATATTATAGTGCCACAACATGATGTGGCACATTATAATTGGTGCCACAATTATCACACATCATGTTGTGGCACCAATCATGATGTGTCACATCATGTTGTGGCACCATAACATGTGTCACATGTGGCACCATAGAATTTCTGTATATATAGTGTCAGTTGCAAAACATATATCGTGTATTGTGTCTTATAATAAATACATTTTGGCAGGTGTTAATGGATGACTCCATAAAAATACCATTTGATTGCTCCATAGAATTTATGTCAACAAACTTTAATAATTTTTTTTTTTCACCCCACAATTAATAATAATATGAGTTCATTTAATAAAAATAGGTGTTCACTAATAAAAATATGTTCACTATTTAATAAAAACTAGTAAAGTGCACTTGCGATGCACGTGGTGTCGAATGATTTTCGCTGAGTAAGTTTGTAAAATAAATTAATTTATTTATTAAACATATCATTGCATAAATGAAGTAAAATATAAGAAAAATGAACTCATATGTGATTTTTTTTTTATTTAGAATTAACATAATGATGTCCTCATATAAAAATAGTGAAATAACGTTTTACAAACCCCAACAAAAATATATATAAAAAATAAATTCCTAATAAAAAAAACACAAAGATTTTCTTTCATTTCAGTTTTAACGTTCTCATAAGAACATTCATAGTCGTTGGAGTCCAATACATCAATAATATTACAAATTCCTCTTAATTAATTTGGCAAAATGCCGATTTTATTCAAACACTTAAGAAACATTCTGACTCAACATATAGTCAAACTTCATAATCGTATGATCTTTATAACAAGGTACTTCTACTAATAAAGGATAAATATCTCTATGAAATAACTAACGGTGTCACTAAAATTGCTGATATTTTTATCACCGTATAAACTACTACATTCCTCTATCTCTAGATATATTGGTGTCTACCCCATTGATGCATCGCCCCACGAGGTGGGAATGAATTTTATCTCCAAATAAAAGTTGACTTTCCAAAATCTTGGTTACATGTACTTCTCCCGAGGTGCTAAATTATTTTTTGAAATCATTATACATTACCTGAAAGTACATCTAAAGTAATTGCACATATGTTCAAGCACAATACACCAATGAGATTATAAATATTTCTATAAAAAGTGACAACTTAATTCTAACATTCAAAACTGTTCTGATACTCCTACATTTCATTTTCAGTGTTATTATCTAGAATATAGACGAACAATATAATCTATTTTTTGCAATGATAAAACAAAACAATGAGAAAATATTGAGAATCATATCATTTGTTAAAATATTTGACAACAGAAGAATTAGAATTCCATTATTTGACGATACTTTTAGTCATTTGTAAAGTTTATTATTATGGAGTCATGATTAAAATATACATCATGTATACAAATTTTTAGATTTTTTAATTATTTAAAATTGAAAATAAATAATATATGATCATTATTTTTGAGAATTAATTTCTTACAGAGTCCATATATTTAAATGCTAGCAACAAAAAAGTAGTAATTTTAAAAGACTTTTTGTTTGTAAATATTGGTATTCATACTTTTCTAAGAAAATTAGCATGTTTTCTTTTTCTCATTGCATTACTATTATATTATTTGTTTCTTATTCTATAGACAAATAATATTTTATTTGCTAAGTAACGAAAGCACATTTATACGTATTATGTTATTTTTGTATGTGTTTTATATAATGATGATATCAAATTATCTTATTTATTAGGCTACAATTAATATAATCACATAAGATTAAATGTAATTTAATATATTTGATAAAATTGTACTTTTTATACGAATTATTAGATTAAAAAGTTTTAGAATTTTTTCTAATGTTTGATAAAATTTTAATTAACTAAGTCATTTTCATAATCACTGAATACATATATGGTACCACCATTATAGAGTTTATTTTGCAGCAGTAATTGATTTCACATAGCTAATGTTATTTCATTTCCTTTCTCTGGCCTAGCCTTTCCTTTTATCTATGACTTCACATTGCTTCGCTTCGTTTGTACCCTAAGGTGCATTTGACATAGTTTCAGCATTACGACAAACTCGTGTCAAACATATATCGGATTTGGGCGCTCTAGCCAAAACGTGGGAACAGTTAGAAGTTTACACCCATTTTTTACTTTTTTTTTTAATATGAATTGTTTCAAATTTATGTATGGAAAACATACCACAAGTTTATCTTATGTTATTTTATACTTAATAAAATTGATTTAACTTGAATATTAAATTTATTATATTATATACTTTAAGACTAATTTATTATTTTAAATTAGTACTGATATATATAATATATATTATTTTATATAAATATAAATAATTATATTATTTTTATTTTATTGCAATATATGGGTCAACTCAAACATCATTGAAAATAAATGATGTGATATATTACATATAAAAAGGTAACAAATAAAAAATATGAAGTATTTGAAACTTAAAAAATTTAATGATAGAAAGTAATAAAAATCTTAACCAAAAATATTTAAGATTAACATACCCACTTTTAAATAAATATACATATGAATATATATATATATATATATATATATATGTATATATATTATGTACTTAAAAGTTCTAGTTAAAATATATTTGTATCTTAAGTATGTTTTATATTTATCATTAGCTAGCTCCAATTAATATTGTACATTAAGTAATTTTATCAGTATTTTTACTTTTGAATTTAATGAAAGTTATAAGTTTTGTCATCTTTCTTACCCCTTATTTAGTTATTACAATACTAATAAAATAATTAAGGACCTTTCAAAGTATCTTGTTTGCTTTGAAAAAAATTAATTCTTATCATAAATTGAACGACAATTACATTGAAATGTGTTATATTTTCTATCGTATCAAAAATTTTCATAATAATAGTTGCACACAATATTATATATAATGCATTTTTTTTTATAGATTTGGAGTCTTAGTTTTACTACAAGAAAATGAGAAAATTCCAACAAAAATTACAACAAATATAACGATTTTCTTATGTTGATTATATAATCTTGACTTTTGGTTTCTTAAATATATTTTACCTTATTGTGATTGCATAGATTTATTAAAATGTATTACAAATGAGAAAGGTGATAGATTATGTAAAGTATAATTTATAAATTACAATGACATGTTATTTTGATGGTATATTTTTTTCTATTAACTAAATAATGCTCCCAATATGAAATTATTTTGGATCTATCACTGCAATTATCTTTCCAATGGAACTTCTATTGAATTTTGGTATAATACTAATGACAATTTTTTCAACGATTGAAATATAGCCCAAAAAATAAATTTCAATAGAAATTCAGATAATTGAAATCTTTACATCCACTAAAGTTCATGTAATTTAATTTAAACTCTATTGGAATAGCCAATGAAAGCAACATATTCATTGAAATTTTCAGTAGAATATCTTACCGTTGAATTTTTCATTGCAGTGTAGCAAAATTTTTGTAGTCCTCTCAAACATTATTTTTTATGTAGTATTTATTGAGTAATTGTATTTACAACTTTTCTATTAAAAATATATTAAACACGTGAATTTTTTAGTTCCTATAGTTTTTTTTTTTCAGAAATCACTCATTATTTTATCCCAAGATTACCTATTAATTTACCAATTGAGTTACATTTCTTACATATTAAATATTATATAATTAAAATATTTCTTGTTTTATCTGTTCAATATCATACTTATATATTATATTTAAAAAATTATTATAGTAAATAAAAAAGTTATTTAAAATTAGAATAATAAACATTTTTTTTCTAATCTACATGTATAAATGTACAAATAACTATTGTCTATCACCTCAAATTTACACATAAAATTAATAAGAACAAAAAACTAACAAGCGTTTAACAATTCAGTTTGATTACATAGATAAGTATATTTTTAGAAGGTTTATATTTAGTTATATAAATTATATTATTTTTGTTTATTAGTTTGTTTTATATTTATTAGTACGTGTCATAACTTAGTTATTATTCATATTATTTCTTATATTTAATATTTTTTTAAAACTTTATCTTGTTCTTTCACATGTTCTTAACTGTAGATTTGTCAAAAACGACATAATATAAAGAATAAAATTTTTTCGATCATCCGCCTCATTATATATCAAATATTTGTATATCTTATATTATATTATATTTAATTACAATTTTTTATTAATATTTTAATTAAATATTCACAATTCATAAATTCATTAATAATATTGTCTAGTCAACTTTTGTTCATAAAATTTAAGAAATATATTATTTTCATTGATTTGCTTATGTTGAATTGAGAAAAGTTATGTTTTTTAATTACATATAGGGAGGATATAAGATTTCTTATATTTTTTATGTAGTATTTATTGAGTAATTGTGTTTACAATTTTTCTATTAAAAATATTTTAAAAAAACGTGAACTTTTTAGTTCCTATAATTTTATTTTTTTTCAGAAAT